GGGGAACTCTGCAAAAAACGCATCTTCGCACGGGCAGCCCGTGCGTTGGCCAATTTTTTTTTTATAGATTCACTCGGGCATTTTTAACTTTTCACATTCCACTGGGTGGAGGCAAAAATTTTCTCGTTGCTACTACTTTCAAATGTGTAACTGTTCTAGCCTTAGATATTGATACTCAGCCCATCTTTTTTGTCCAGCTTCCAAGATTTCATCTCGAGACAGGACGTGGAAAGCTTGAGCAGGGAACTCTCGTTCCTTGAGCTCATGTAGTGTACTTGTTTTCTGTCGACTAGCAACCCATACTTGCTTCTTCAGTGACGTTGACGTTAACCTTCTTCTGTAAGGACTCGTACAGCATCAATCAAAAGTCAGCTGCTAAATGTCTTCCCGAAACTGATAAAGACAGAGTGGTTTTGCGCGTTCCATTGACTGATTTAAGGCCAAAATGTGACTCACTGCACTGATAATTACTGCAGTATCCAGGATGACGCACCCAGAACAGTCTTTGATTATTGGATAACGTAGTGCGAGCAACTGTTATAAGGTGACGTGTGCAAGACGGACAGCACCAGGCGGAAAAGACGAACAAGTGGAGAAGTTTGGATGGAAGTAAGGAATCCAGTGCAGAGCCTACTGATGTTCCGGTTATCAGTTCGCTTATGCGAGATCTATTTGTATAAGTGTAAGGCGCCAAATGCAAGCTGTTTTGTTTTTATCGTATGGAAAATTGGTTTTATTCAGAACGTGAATTTCCTGCTGTCGAAAATCGGACTCACCAATCCAGGCGGTTATTTCGTGCAAGATTTATGGAGCGGCAGGCATAAAGGCCTTTTTAGGCCCAACGACGAGTACTATACGACAGTGAATCCAACTGGTATTGACTTCATCAAAGCTACACTACCCGACTTATACAGCGGATGGTGATTGATGTGTTTTGGATACGATCTCGTTCCACTGAAACTAATTAGATATTTCGGGAGAGATAATTTAAAACTTCTAAAAAAATGGGACTGCAGAAAAAGTGAGGCTGAATACTAGAATTTTTTTAATGGCCTGTTGCCGAATTTACAAAATTTGACAAACGTTTGTTTTGTATATGAATGCGCTTTAACACCACCATTCCACTGCGAGTGGGCCAGAAAATCGGTCCAGAAACGCATCTGCTAAAATTTTTTTAGCTCTGATGAACTCGACATTTGAAGTAAATTTTGTAGCCGGCTGAAAGTGTGGGACTTTTAATCTATGGCACATTCGCCAATATCTCCGAAATTGTATATAGTTTATTGTATTTTCTTTTCTGTGTAACTGTTTGACTCCCTAGTGGAACAACAAGCATATCCTGTTTTTCCACGTTCAAGTTCCGATGAAAATAAACATCTAAATGCTGCAGTTCTTTGAGCTGTTTCATTTAACTGAACATAAAAGCTCTGTATCTTCGCAGTTTGGAGAAACCGTTCTCAGAAAAACAGCCTGCTTGCTTTTCACCTATCGACAGAGCCGTCTCTTGCCCAGCCTGATTTATGATGAGCTGCTGTTTCCCAGTGCTAGAAATGCTGCTCCACTTTTTCCTCCTGTCTACCACCGTTGTGCTAATCAATTCACCTCCTGTTTTTGGGCAAAACTTGGTTGTCCAGGTATGCAATTTTCATTCTGACAATCAGAAATAAGACAATGGAAAAACTTTGAATTTTGAATTTGGGAAGATGAAGAGCGGACAATTCAGAAATCTGCGGCGGTTTTGCAGTTCTTGAATTAGAAAATCAGAGATTGCTAATTTTTAAGTCACATCGATCTGAAAGCATAAAATTAATCTGAATCTGAAACACTTGCTTCCAAGTTGTTTGCCTCGAATTGTGCGGGGGAGGGGGGAAATCAATCTCAAAATTTCCAGCTTGGCTCTTAAATTACAACCCCGGTGTGAACTTGAGGCTACGAGTTCTGATGCACAGAACTAGCTGTAGGTTGATTTCGAGGTTGTAGCCCCCCATGTGGTCAAGGACTATGCTCCGCAACCTCCGGCTTCCTAGCCTTACTGTCATTTTTCGAGCAAAAAAAACAACACAGAGATGACTCGCACAACTTTGTGCCATTAGCATAATACGAAGAAACGCATAAAAGACGAATTAAATGAGCCACATTGAAGAACGAGGGAGGGGAGAGGGGACGGGACCCTGCCCCTTCTTCGTGGACTTAAATTTGCATTACTTCCTTTCGTCACCACGGCTGCTCATTGGAAGTTTGCCCGGTCGTTTTCGTGTTGTGAACAATGTGTGGCGACTGTAAGGATGGTTGGCGCGGTCTTTGGGATTTTGGCTCGACTTAGCGAGGACCAGGAAGCTGAAGTGACTGAGGGAGAGGTAGGGTGGGGCTGGTGGGTAAGGTACAATTTTAGCTTTTTTGCAAAGGGAATAGTTGAGGGCTGGGTTGGTGGCTCAGGTCTCGAGGGCCGTAACGGTGAGGAGCACACAAGGTACTGGTTGCAAAGTAGCTGAAACTTCGTGTTTGCAGGTAAGAAGTGGAGCCAGGGGAAGGGTCGCGGAGAAAGAGCCTGTGTAGATTTTTTTAAAGCTCAGCCCGAAACTTCATGCTAATTGGAAGCTGGCAGTCTTGGACGCGACACCTGAAACAGAGTTTGGACAAAGACCCGGTACTACGATTTTCACAGCTCGAGCCCGAATCCTAAAACGCATAAAAACGGAAAATAGTTGCGTGGCCAAGCCGAACCGAGTTTTAGTAATCTTGCCAGAAAAGGGCAGCCCGGTGGCTTTGGACCGTCAAATCCGCCTGGCGAGGTTGTGAGACCATCTGACTGCGCGGGCATATTTTGAGCTCGTTGCAGGCTGTAAAATTAGGCTCTGGATGCTGAAGCCATTCGGGCGGCTTGATGCAAAATTTGAAGAATGTGGAAAATAGCTTATGGATTACTTAGTTAAAGATAGCTACCACACAGTCATTGAGAAGAAAACTGCCTCGTGAAGAGGGGAATTGGAGGAGAAGTCAACTGGTAGAGCTAAGTCCGAGAGAACCCCCACTTGTCCTCTCCGCGTTCTCGGGAAATTGGCTACCATCCCTGCGTTCCCGGGAATTGATTTCCACCTTATGCGCTTCGCCCGACGATGGGGAGGGGGAAGAATACGCTGCACGTACACCGTCACTGCTTGGAAGAACGAGGCTCTGTGCTTCCATCCTTCGCCCCCTTCCCCTCTCTCCCTCTACTCCCTGCGTCGCATCATTACACTTCTACCTTCCAACAGCGCGATTCATAGGCCTCACTCAACAATCTATCACTGCACGACTTTCTCAGGCTCTAAACTGTCGTGAGCGGAACCATCTCTCCGAAAATTGTTCTGTAGGATAGATTCGAGCCACTCTTCTTCACGTCCGGACACAATGTACTACCACTACACCACCGGTTCTTGTGCTCCATGTTCAGCCTGCTAGCACATCTGCTGTTTATCTGCTTTTTAAGGCATGATGTGCCTTCTTTT